AAGATTGTTCTTCACTTGTGTTCATTCTGGAAAGCACTCTAAAGTTAAAAAAAAAAAAACCCTTATGCAGATATTTTAAAGACCTAGGATAAAGGAAAACATAAGTAATATTATTTTATTAATACTAAGTATGCTTTTTTCCTGTGATCTCTGAGCTCCTATTTTTATTTCAAGGAAATCTAAACTGAAAGTACAGTTGTATAATGTGCTTTCTTTGTGTGAAGTTAACCCAAGAAGGTAATATTTCTATCTCACTTTTTATTAGTCTTCAAGTCTTTTTATATTTACTACAAAAATCCTCTAAATTTCCTTGCAATCAGGCAGTTCTTTGTAGGCAAATACTCTCAAACAGATCATCGTCTAACTTTTCATTTTTTCTCCCACTCAAATAAATGATAGTTGAACATGTGAAAGATGTATTTTCCTTACATGAACATTTTGTGAAAGTAGGTTTATTCTTTGTTTTTGAATATAGTAACAATAACAGGCACTAATAACCATTCTCTATATCCCGTGATCTCTTTCCCCATTTCCTCCTACAATCAAATATTTCAATGTTGCTATGAAAAAATTGTGTCATATGATATCATTGAAAGAAAACAAATTGCTGGGCTAGGGTTATGGCTCAGCAGTAGAGTGCTCGCCTGGCACATGCAAGGCCCTTCGTTCGCTCCTCAGCACCACATAAATAAATAAATAAAATAAAGTTTTTGTGTCCAACTTCAACTACAAAAGGTAATTTTAAAAAATAATAAAATAAATTGCTTCAAAGGGATAAACTATTTGATAAAAATCTTCTTTATTCAAATTTAACAGTTTTTAATTTCATGAACATCGGAATCAAATGCCTGAAAACTTCACTACTTAGGTACTTAGATGTTTATAAAATAGAAGCCAATGTCAAAATTTTTATACTATCTTAGAGTGCTTTTTAGGTTTCTTGTAATATTTAGTACTTATGAGGAAACTGAGAATATTTTCTGTTCATATCAGCAACATAAAAATGCTTAGATTTGATTCCTCATGTTCAGGAATCAGAATTTCTTTGGTATATTTATGGACATAATACAATAGTGCATGCGTATATATACTTTATAATCACAGGTAATAATCCTCTTATAGAAACTTAAGTGAATATCCTAAAAGAAAAGTTATTTTTTTCCTTGTTCACTGACTTTGATCAAAATTAAGATAGATTTCATGAGAGTCCTAAAAGGCAAAGCTTCCTTAAATATCCTACTTGTCACCAGGCACAGTGGTACACACCTGTAATCCTAGAAGCTGGGGAGGCTGAGGCAGGAAGATGGTGAGTTCAAAGCCAGCCTCAGTGATTTAGCAAGGCCCTAAGCAACTCAATGAGAACTATTCTCTAAATAAAATACAAAAACAGGCTGGGGATATGGCTTAATGGTTAAGTGCCCCTGGGTTCAATCCCCAGTACCAAATTTTTTTTTTTTTTTAAAAAGCCTATTTCTTGTTGTTTGACTTCATAATGGCTGCCAATCTAACTGGAGTGAGATGGTATCTTAGGGTGGTTTTGATTTGCATTTCTCTGACTGCTAGAGATGGTGAGCATTTTTTCATGTACTTGTTGATTGATTGTATGTCCTCCTCTGAGAAGTGTCTGTTCAGGTCCTTGGCCCATTTGTTGATTGGGTTGTTTGTTCTCTTATTGTCTAATTTTTTGAGTTCTTTGTATACTCTGGATATTAGGGCTCTATCTGAAGTGTGAGGAGTAAAGATTTGTTCCCAGGATGTAGGCTCTCTATTTACCTCTCTTATTGTTTCTTTTGCTGAGAAAAAACTTTTTAGTTTGAGTAAGTCCCATTTGTTGATTCTAGTTATTAACTTTTGTGCTATGGGTGTCCTATTGAGGAATTTGGAGCCCGACCCCACACTATGTAGATCGTAGCCAACTTTTTCTTCTATCAGACGGCGTGTCTCTGATTTGATATCAAGCTCCTTGATCCATTTTGAATTCACTTTTGTGCATGGCGAGAGAAAGGGATTCAGTTTCATTTTGTTGCATATGGATTTCCAGTTTTCCCAGCACCATTTGTTGAAGATGCTATCCTTCCTCCATTGCATGCTTTTAGCCCCTTTATCAAATATAAGGTAGTTGTAGTTTTGTGGATTGGTTTCTGTGTCCTCTATTCTGTACCATTGGTCCACCCGCCTGTTTTGGTACCAGTACCATGCTGTTTTTGTTACTATTGCTCTGTAGTATAGTTTGAAGTCTGGTATCGCTATACCGCCTGATTCACACTTCCTGCTTAGCGTTGTTTTTGCTATTCTGGGTCGTTTATTTTTCCATATGAATTTCATGATTGCTTTCTCTATTTCTACAAGAAATGCCGTTGGGATTTTGATTGGCATTGCATTAAACCTATAGAGAACTTTTGGTAATATCGCCATTTTGATGATGTTAGTTCTGCCTATCCATGAACAGGGTATATTTTTCCATCTTCTAAGATCTTCTTCTATTTCTCTCTTTAGGGTTCTGTAGTTTTCATTGTATAGGTCTTTCACCTCTTTTGTTAGGTTGATTCCCAAGTATTTTATTTTTTTTGAAGATATTGTGAATGGAGTGGTTGTCCTCATTTCCATTTCAGAGGATTTGTCGCTGATATACAGGAATGCCTTTGATTTATGCGTGTTGATTTTATATCCTGCCACTTTGCTGAATTCATTTATTAGCTCTAATAGTTTCTTTGTAGACCCTTTTGGGTCTGCTAGGTATAGAATCATGTCATCTGCAAATAGTGATAATTTAAGTTCTTCTTTTCCTATTTTTATGCCTTTAATTTCTTTCGTCTGTCTAATTGCTGTGGCCAGTGTTTCGAGAACTATGTTGAACAGAAGTGGAGAGAGAGGGCATCCCTGTATTGTTCCAGATTTTAGAGGGAATGCCTTCAATTTTTCTCCATTCAGAATGATGCTAGCCTGAGGCTTAGCATAGATTGCTTTTACAATATTGAGGTATGTTCCTGTTATCCCTAGTTTTTCTAGAGTTTTGAACATAAAGGGATGCTGTACTTTGTCGAATGCTTTTTCTGCATCTATCGAGATGATCATATGGTTCTTATTTTTAAGTCTATTGATATGGTGAATAACATTTATTGATTTCCGTATATTGAACCAGCCTTGCATCCCAGGGATGAATCCTACTTGATCATGGTGCACAATTTTTTTGATATGTTTTTGTATCCGATTCACCAGAATTTTATTGAGGATTTTTGCATCTAGGTTCATTAGAGATATTGGTCTGTAGTTTTCTTTCTTTGAAGTGTCTTTGTCTGGTTTAGGTATCAGGGTGATGTTGGCCTCATAGAATGAATTTGGAAGTTCTCCCTCTTTTTCTATTTCCTGAAGTAGCTTGAAAAGTATTGGTATTAGTTCCTCTTTAAAGGTTTTGTAAAACTCTGCTGTATACCCATTCGGTCCTGGGCTTTTCTTAGTTGGTAGTCTTTTGATGGTTTCTTCTATTTCCTCAATTGATATTGGTCTGTTTAGGTTGTCTATATCCTCCTGACTCAATCTGGGCAGATCATATGACTTAAGAAATTTATTGATGCCTTCACTATCTTCTAATTTATTGGAGTATAAGGATTCAAAATAATTTTTGATTATCTTCTGTATATCTGAAGTTGTGATATTGCCTTTTTCATCCCGTATGCTAGTAATTTGAGTTCTCTCTCTTCTTCTCTTCGCTAGCATGGCTAAGGGTCTGTCGATTTTGTTTATTTTTTCAAACAAGTGCTGGCGAGGATGCGGGGAAAAGGGTACACTTGTACACTGCTGGTGGGACTGCAAATTGGTGCAGACAATTTGGAAAGCAGTATGGAGATTTCTTGGAAAGCTGGGAATGGAGCCACCATTTGACCCAGCTATTCCCCTTCTCGGTCTATTCCCTAAAGACCTAAAAAGAGCATGCTACAGGGACACTGCTACATCGATGTTCATAGCAGCACAATTCACAATAGCAAGACTGTGGAACCAACCTAGATGCCCTTCAATAGATGAATGGATAAAAAAAAATGTGGCATTTATACACAATGGAGTATTACTCTGCATTAAAAAATGACAAAATCATAGAATTTACAGGGAAATGGATGGCACTAGAGCAGATTATGCTAAGTGAAGCTAGCCAATCCCTAAAAAACAAATGCCAAATGTCTTCTTTGATATAAGGAGAGTAACTAAGAACAGAGTAGGATCGAAGAGCACGAGAAGAAGATTAACATTAAACAGGGATGAGAGGTGGGAGGGAAAGGGAGAGAGAAGGGAAATTGCATGGAAATGGAAGGTCCCTCAGAGTTATACAAAAGTACATACAAGAGGAAGTGAGGGGAAAGGGAAAAATAATACAAGGGGGACAAATGAATGTCAGTAGAGGGGGCAGAGAGAGAAGAGGGGAGGGGAGGGGAGGGGAGGGGGGATAGTAGAGGATAGGAAAGGCAGCAGAACACAACAGACACTAGTATGGCAATATGTAAATCAATGGATGTGTAACTGATGTAATTCTGCAATCTGTATATGGGGTAAAAATGGGAGCTCATTACCCACTTGAATCAAAGTGTGAAATATGATATATCAAGAACTATGTAATGTTTTGAACAGCCAACAATAAAAAAAATAAATAAAATTAAAAAAAAAAAAAAAAAAAACAAATGCATACCACCACTCCAGGCTTGGTCAGTACCTCCAATTCCTTAATAACTTCTTAGGAATAAATTCAACTCAATTGTTTTAAGAAAAAAAAAAAGGCCTATTTCTTACACAGGTTAGTAATTAATTACAAAGTAAAACTGAACACCACCTTTAGGAAGCTATTCTTTTATCACCAAGAAAATATGTCTTCAAGTTTCCATATTTCCCAACAAATATATGAAAAATTTTTCAACATCTCTAGCAGTTAGAGAAATACAAAATAAAACTACACTAAGATTTCACCTCACTCCAGTGAGAATGGCAATTATCAAGAATTCAAGTAACAACAAATGTTGATGAGGATGTAGGGGGAAAAGGTACTCTCATACATTGCTTGTGGGACTGCAGATTAGTGTAACCACTCTGGAAAGCAGTATGGAGATTCCTCAGAAAACTTGGAATGGAACCACCATTTGACCCAGTTATCCCACTCTTCAGCATATAACCAAAGGACTTAAAATCAGCATACTACAGTGATGCAGCCACTTCAATGTTTATAGCAGCTCAATTCACAATAGCTAAACTCTGGAACCAACCTAGATGCCCTTCAACAAATAAATGGATAAAGAAAATGTGGTATATGTACACAATGAAATATTACTCAGGCATAAAGAGAAAGGAAATTGCATTTTGAGTAAAATGATGGAGACTATCATGCTACGTGAAATAAGCCAAACCCAAAACACCAAAGGCCAAATGTTCTTTCTGATATGTGGGTGCTAACTCACAATTGGGGGCAGGGGACTAGGGAAGAATGGAATTGCTTTCGATTAGACAAAAGGGAAATGAAGGGAAGAGAGGGGTAATGGGAATAAGAAAGACAGTAGAATCAGACATTACTTTCCTATGTTCATATATGAATATACTGAATATATGACCAATGTAATTCCATATCATGTGCACCCAGAAGAAAAGGAAGTTGTACTCCGTGTATGTATAATATGTCAAAATACATTCTACTGTCATATATAACTAAAAAGAACTATATATATATATATATATATATATACACACACACACACACACACACACACACACATACACACACATACACATACATAGGCATTTCATAAAAGCATAAGTTGGTAATCTTTTTGAATATTATTAAAAATCTAATTCTTACCTAAAATTACTTAGGAGGAGGAAAAGATGACGTTTTTCCTATTATCTTTTTAATAAATTTTTAAAATAACTATACTGTTTTTCTGATTATAAAAGTAATATATGCTTCTTACAAACAATAATTTAGAAAATATGAAAAACTAAAATGAAGTAAATAAAAACCATCATTTATCCCAGTCCACAATTATACCTAGAACTAGTTGGTTAATTTGCACAATTGGGAATATAACATATATACAGTTTTATGTCTTAAGAGTCTTAATATCCTAATTGTTACTATAGCTGTATTATACACTTACTCTATGGCAAGCATTATGATAAGCACTATATTTAATATTTTATTTAACCTGAAAAACAAGTACTCTGTAATCCCAGCAACTCAAGAGGTGAGTCAGTATAGCAAGTTTGAGTTGGCAATTTAGCAAGACTCTATCTCAAAATAAAAATTAAAAGGGGTTGGAGGTGTCATTCAGTAGTAGATCCCCAGTACCACAAAATGGAAAGTCAGTTTTTGAAAAATTAGCTGATTAAATATGTTGGCCTAGATCATGAAACTAGCATGTTAAAAAACTAGAATTTGTATAAGGTAGTCATAACTCCAGAGCCTTTGCTTTAACCTATCTCCTTTTCTCATAATGTAAGCTCTTCTCTATTTAATAGCTCTTCTAAAAAAAAAAACAAAAACTGGGATTTTCAGTCACTGCAGAATAGAAACAAGGTCTGAATAATTTAATTTTTCTGCCATTAAACATTTAGATTCTTTCCTATTTCCTATCACAAGCATTCTCTGTATATAAATTGTCATATAAACTTCTGATGATCACTTTAGAAATATTTCCCTAAAATAGAATAACTGACTCAAAATTGTGAGGTCTTTTAATGCATGTTGCCAGATTGCCTTCTTAGAATATATGTACAAATTCATATATGTTTATGAGATTGCATGTCCTTTAACATTTTTAATCTTGAAATTTGATAGGCAAAAATATTATGTTTTTTAGTATATGGTAGAAATGAAAACTTTTCTCATAATTGTCAAGTTTTATTTCTTCTTTTAAAATGCTTGTTTATTTTGTACAGTTTTCTTTTGGCTCAGTGTTTGTTTTTTGTATTTTTTTGTTGTTTTTTTTTTACCTATTCATAAATGTATATAACATAATTGGCTTCATTTTAGACCCCAGTACTACCCACTTCTGTCCCCTCTTCTCTCCCCTAATCCTGTTCCTCTATGTTTTGGCCTGCCTTGTATTTATATTTTGATTGGTGCATTCTAGTTATACATAAAATTGGATCCATATTCTCTTCTTAAAAACTGATTCTAATTATGAGGAATAGTCTAAGAAATTGCTTGTAAAGAAATAATTTTGGCTAATTCTGACATATCTTTGCTGTATCATTTTGAATCAAAATATAAACCAATTCACTTTCTCTTTTCTCAGACTCCATTAACAAAGAAGTACTCAATTAGTTTATCATTCACAGTGACAACTCAAAAATACATTCTGAACCTAAGGCATGAAGTGAATAAAATACAAATTCTTTTTTTTCTGATAAACTGGATTTGCCCTTTGTGAGTTTTCTCCCTATTACTGATGCATTTGTTTCTTTTGTAGCTATCCTTTTCTTGTGGAAGCTTCACTATTAAGTATTTGGCAGAAATTTATTAAATCTCCATAATTTAGAACTAATGGCCTATTCATATATACAGACCTTGGGAAATAACTTATAATTAGGACATTGAGTACACATGACTACTATTTGCACTCTTTTTTAATTGCATATATAGAATCTTATTTACATAATTGTTTTACTTGCCAAAATCACTTTTCTATGTGGAAATTCCAAGAAAACATTGTTCTAAGATGCAGTTAATGTAGATTATATTTTACTATCTAGACATTGAAAGCATCTTATAAACATTTTCTAGCATGTAGAGCTCAACATTCCCTCCAGTGCTTTTTAGTCATCCTTAACATGCAAACCATTTCAGAACCCAAGTTTGTTATAGGTTAAAAAATTAAAACTTAGCTTATATTTCCCCATAAAAAAACATGTATATGTACAAGTGTTCCTCATTCAGAGGCACTTTTGGTCCCCAGGCAACATTTGACAATGCGTGGTGATATTTTTGATTTTGACAGTTTTGAGGGATGCTACTAACAATTAATGAATAGAGACCAGAGATGCTGCTAAACATCTATACTACAATGCACAGGACATCCCCTACAACAAAGAATTATCTGGCCCAAAATGTAGATTACACAGATATTGAGAAACCTTCATTTACATAACATTTTTGAGTACCTATTAACTGTCGGACACTGTACTGAAGATTGGGGTCATATGGCTAGAAAATTATGATTGAAATATTTCAGAACAACTATTATTGAAAAGAAAAAATAGATGAATAAATATAACAATTGATTCAGTAGTGGCATATATGTGACATTTTAGGAACAAAAATGAAGTCAATCTGAGGGACATAGTTTGGGAGACTTTCAAAGACAAGACACTGAGGTTGTCATTGTTGTTTACCTTTTATTTAAATGCAAAAAATATATATATGCATAGTATAGGCACTGCTTAATTAACTTAAAACTGAACATACTCATGTAGCTAGCAGACAAATCAAGAAACCAGAATATTATCAGCATCTTAGAAAACCCCAGTATGCTCTTACAATCACAACCCAAACCTAAAGTGTAACTAATAATCTAGCACTGGAGCAACACCTTATTCCCAGCAGCTCAGGAGCCTAAAACAGGAGGATCACAAGTTGGAGGTTGCCTATGCAACTTAACAAGAACCTGTCCAAAATAAAATTTTAAAAACACTGGGAATGTAGCTCAGTATACAGTACTTGCTGAGCATTTGCAAAGCCCTGGGTTAAATTCCAGTGCCTCCTCGCAAAAAGTAACTACTATTCTTTGACCTTTACCATTATAGATTACTTTTGGTTTTTACTAAACTTTATGTAAATGGAATCATAGTCTGTAGCATTTTGTGTCTGATTCTTTTATTCACCACTATTTTTCTAAAATAGACTCATTTTTTCATGTAGTTGTATGTTCATTCCCATTACTGACCAATAGTCCATTGTATGCATATCAATATTTATTAATCCATTCTACTGTAAAAACACAATGGCTATAACAAGTTAGCTAGTAGGTCACTTGGGCTACAGAATGAATTTTGAGAGGGAAATTGCAGGAGAGGGAGAAGTAGGTAGGATAGGTGATATCTTTGTCATATAAAAAGCATTTAGTTTTTTTTTCTTGTAGGAAATGAGTTTTTTTTTTGAAAAATGTTAAACAAGGAAAGAATATGTTGAAACTTACATTTTAGAAAAACCTCTTTGTCACCAGAATGGAGAATGGGTTGAATGGGCATAAACTGAGTTATAACAACAATCAAGAGGTCATTGGAATGGTTCAGATAAAAGATGTAAGAACCTGTATGAGGGCCATACAGGTGAGGGTATAAAGGGACATTTGACTCTCTGGATAGAATTAATAGTACTTTGGGAGTAACTAGGTATGGATGTTACAGTTGTTACCTTTAAGTGGGGAGAGATAACTTGTCTATTCTAATTTTGTTTGTGGGTTCATCTTTAAAGAAAATAAGTTCAGAAAGTTCTCTGTAGTCACCAGGCAGTAGCATTAGTATGTTGATTACTTTTGGAGATAGTGGTCAGGCTAGTTGTCTGTGACCTGGAGATTGAGAATTAGCTCTTGATAAACAGAGCACTGCCTATAAATGATTTCAAATGTAAAGAATTCTAACAAAAAACTTAGTGAACTCTGATCTGATAGTAATTATTTCTTTGAAGATTTAATAAAATATGTAAAAAATTTTAAATTATAAACATTTATGTAAGATTTTTAAATGAATTTATATCTATGTTCAAGAAAAAGTGTGGTACACGTAAGTTGAAATTTATGCTTATTCATCATATAATCAGTGCTGTTTACCTTAATTGAATGAAGCCTTATAATTTTCATATTGCTTGTTTTTCATTTTATGACCAACTGTATTTAGCCCAAACTTATGTGGATTTGTAAATTTTATAATTTTATTTTTTGAATTAACAAATGTATTATAGTCCTTTAAAAATCAAGTAAAGGGGAATCTTTATATAATTTTTTGTAAACTTCTGATTTCAGAAACAATATGTATAGCACCAACAGGGTTCACTTTTTTTTAATTTTTTGGAAAAAACAGGTATTCCTTTGCTGACATTACTTATTATTTTTATTTTTTTTTTAAAAAGAAGGCATAATGAAGTATGCCTATTACTCTTCAGCACATATTCAAAGAACAGAATGCTATAATTGTGGTGGGGGCAGTGTTAGCACCTGTTAGCTTTATATTTGCTTTTAAGTTTTGCATCAAATATCTTATTCTGATTTCACATTATCACCAAACGTAGTTATAAAATCAGCAATTGAAAAGCTTTTAAAAGCATTCTGGCATCATCTTATAAGAAGTCAAAAAGAATATTGAGACTTTCCTTACCTTAAAAAAGTAAGAAAGAATTAATATAAATTGTCTAGAGCAAAAATTTAGTCCCTAAATGCAGATATCTGTACAATACAAAGAATATATAACCTACCAGATCTTTGGGGTCTAAATGTTTAGTCACTACAGGAATAGCTACATGTCATTTTGGTACCTTAATACCTTTCATTTATCAGTCCAAAAACTCAAATCTGTTTCTAAGTTCACAGCTCTTTTATCCTGAATCATGGGAAAATGGGTGGAATAATACATTCCTTGTTCTTTCTCTAAACTATTACTGTATAGTAATAGGCCTTAATGGAAAATTATACCAACTATAACATGAATCATCTATTTTCCAATGAAAGGACTCAAAAATTGGGGGAGTTAAATATTAAATATTTCCATCTTAGTGAAGTATTTAATTCACTAAAGTACAAATTACCATATATAAAATGTCATTTAAGATAATTGTATTTTATACAAGGTTTTATTCAAAATCTTAACATACATTATTAACATCAATGTTTTTCATTGTTAGGATAATTTGTAAGCCATCTGCAAGTTTTCCATTACTTATCAACCTTTCTTTTTTGTTTAAGAGCTTGAGGTATATGTCCCATACCTTATGATTCATCCATTAAAAATGTATAATTCAAAGGGTTTTGGTATGTTATTTTTTTAAGATTGTGGTACGAGATATATATATGTATATGTGTATGTGATATATATGTATATATATACATATATATCAAAAACACTTGCTATTTTAACCATTTTTACATGCACAATTAATTAACATTAATTATATTCACAATAATGTGCAGTCATAACCAGTACCAATTTTAAGAACTTTATCACCCAAGCAGAAAGAATGTAATTATTATGCAATAACTCCCAATTTCTCCCACACCTAAACCTTGATAACCTCTAATGAACTTTCTATCTCCATAAATTTGCCTATTATAGATATTTCATAAAAGTGGAATCATTTAATATTTGCCCTTTTGTAGGTTTTTTTGCTTTTTTTCATTTAGTTTAATGCTTATTAGTTTACCCATGTTGTAATGTATATGAGAATATTATTCCTTTTTATTACTGAATAATATTCCATTGTATGGATATACAACTATTTGTCTACCTGTTCTTCTATTGATGGACATTCAGATTCTTTCCATCTTTTTCCTATTGGGAAT